TGATTGTTACTTTCCCAAATATTCTACTTCCATTTTAATTATTCTTTACTCTTTACAAAGCAACTACCAAGCATTATCTCATTTGCTCCTCACAGCAGGCTGATGAGACGTAATAATATTAATATAATAAATATAATAATATATTACACATAATATATTGGTACGGTATGTAATATAATATAATAAATAATAATAATATGATAATTTTCCCTTACAGATGAAGACACTGAGACTCGGAGAAGATAAATGACTTGCATAGGGTCCGTGGATGTTAATGACAGTGGAGGAATTTGAACTCCAGGTGCCAGGCTAGAGCTCTCTCCATCAGACTAGGTATATATATGGTGATTGGAACTTTCTGTCAGCTCTGATTATTTCATCACTTGTGCTAAGTGGAATCAGAATGGTCAGAACATTAAAAAAAAGCTAAGGTTATGCTACTGTCTGAGAAATTTCAACAGGCTCCTGGGGGTCAGATGTTCTCCAAGGTGTAATTCAGTGATACCTCCCTTATCTAGGGCTGGCAGGGAAGGAGAGATTCTGCAAAAGTCAAATGTCTGTGTAATTGTTCATATACCTAAAGCTTCCACATTTCAAATGAAATCTAAAATTATGTTGCTTATCACTCTGTGTTCTTAAAGGTAGAATGCCAAACATAGCTTATTTAACCTTTTCTTGTCGACTTAGGGCATCATTGTAAATCTCAATGTTTTTAGACTTTAATTTCTAATCCTCTAGGGTTTTACACTCCAAGATTCCAGACTTCTATGCTTTTTGGAGTTCCTGTTTGTTTTTTACTTCTCAATTGGTGTATTTACATTTAAGAGTTTCTGCACTCTCTTCTCGTTGTTTCTAATCTGTTAAGGAGTGAGGCTCTAGTTCAAAGAGACTTGTTGATCTATTGGAGTAGATAGGTTTTAAATAAAGTCTTGGATAATCCTTCTAGGAGTAAACACTTTCTTCTGTCTTTATTTTTAGGGGTGTGGTAAGGGCTTTTGCTGTGCTGCTCAGATTCTTTCACCAGTCCAGTTCTCTTGTCACTCAGCTGCTGTGAGTGTTGGTGACCAATGGCTTACAGCCACACCCATCACTGAAGACTTGCTCTTGGCCCTCCGGAGCTGATCCACCCAGAACTGCCTGGGAAGTTGTCCCCTGACTTCTGGGTGTGACTTGCAGACAACTACTGAGCAAGCAGTGTAAAAACCCAGCCCCTTTGCCTCCATGTGGGGCAATTCTGTGAGGCCACCCTTGTCTCAGGATTTCCCATAGGACTGAGCGGAGACTGGACCACAGCTGAACACATGTCCTCACTTTGCTTCTCACATGCCCTGTCTTGCTTCCCTCACTCCCTTACAAGTCCTTCTTGTGAGCATTTGCCCAAGACCCTGTCTCAGCCTCTGATTCCAAGGACTCTAATGTATGACTGGCTTCCCCTGCTCCTGCTTTTCACTTGTTCAGCTATATGCTAAAGAGGTAAGGTAACAAAAGACTTCTGTACTCTTTCCTGTCCCTTCCCTCAACCCAACACCAAGAGAGGACAGCCGAAGCATGAAATAAAGAATGTATAATGAGGAAAAAAAAAGCTTTTGCAAAAAGATATATTAGAAATTCATTAATTTGTTAAAGTTTTACTTGAAGCCTACCTTATGAATCACCGGGTGAGGGTCTGAGAACACAGATACAAAACACACAATTTCCCTTCACCTCACCCTTTTTGAGAAGCTCACAGTCTGAGGAAGAAAGCAACAAGTAAGTAAGACAACATATATCATAATAAATGCTATTATTGAAGACAGAACTCATTCATTCACTCAAGAAATATTTCTTTTTTTTAAATTTTTTTAAAGATTTTATTTTATTATTATTTGAGAGAGAGAGAATGAGAGAGAGAGTGAGAGAGCACAAGAGGGGGGAGGGTCAGAGGGAGAAGCAGACTCCCAGCTAAGCAGGGAGCCCGATGTGGGACTCGATCCTGGGACTCCAGGATCATGACCTGAGCCGAAAGCAGTCGCTTAACCAACTGAGCCACCCAGGCGCCCCTCAAGAAATATTTCTTAAGCATCTATTATGTGCCAAACTTTGGGGATCTAAACAACCTGGAACAAAGGATTGTAGAGTCCAAAGGCTGGAGAAGACATGATAGTTTTTACTTTGGAATTGATACTGGAGTTGTTCTGGTAGAGTGAGCAGGAGTTTACCAGGTGAAGGTTAGTGAAGGTGTTCAGATTGAAGGACAATGTCCTGAAAGGGTGTGGGGTTTGGAAGAACTGGGGAGAAACTTATCATGGCAGGAGATGAGAAGAAGGCAGGGATGGATGTGAAGACCTTTATCTGCCAGACTAAGGAGTTTGGATTTTATCTTGTAGGTAATTTACCAAGAAAGCCTATTCAAATTCACATGAATCATACTTAACACCAAATATTTTGATTATTTCATTACAGACTAAGTAATCCCTGCCTTTGTCCACATTTTCCCTAATAGTAACAACAACAGCAACAACAAATATTGTTTGAACAGTCACTATATGACTGACATTGTGGTAAGAGCTTTGCCTATATTAGCTCATTCAATTCTCCCCAAAATCTATGCTGGAGGTTTTAGTACTCACTTATCATGGAAGAGGAGAGTAGAGCTTTGGAATATTACTTAATTTGCTCAGAAACACAGCTGGTGTGTGCCATACCTAGGTCAATCCACTTCACTTCACAGTCAATACTTAAACCACTGTGTTACATGACTTTTCTAGCCATGGCTACTTGCTCATTCCCTCTGCCATTTCACATGCTTTTCATCCTTTGAGGCCCATTTCAAGTTTCCTTCATTTACTTAACCAATATTATTGAGCACTTTCTGTGTGTATTATGTCCTTGTCCCCCACAGAACTTTCCCACACTGATTTCTATCTTCTTTAACACCTTTGAGTCTTTAAGGTAGAAGGTGAATCTTAATATGAACAGATTTGTATTGTTTGCTAAGTGTTTTCAGTGGGTTTATTTTGTTTTTTTTTTTCCCAAAGATTTTAAACAATTGCTGGGTCAGGATCAAGTCTTTAAGGTCCTCTTAACCCATCCAGTGGCTGCATTTTAAGGAAAAAGAAATGCACATGTGTGGATCTGATAAGTTCTGAGTGATATCTGGAGAAGAAGATGCCCCATAAGTGACGATCAGCTGTGTTTACCATTGAAGTCCACAGCAGCAAGCCAAGATAACTGTTGCAGAGTCTGTGGACAGAAGTTCATGAAGATCACTGCTTGACAGGTCAGGGTAAAGGTCCCTTTCTTTCAAAATATATGAAGGGGCAGGAAACGTGTGCACCAGGTGTTTTGTGTTCATGGCTGCCTGGGAAAGATAATTCTGTCTGTTCGATAAGAACATTGTGCTCTACACACCAGGTTGTTTTTCCAGCAGCTATTTTCTGCCTATAAAAAAGAGCATCGCTGGCTCTCAACCTCTTTCCGCAAATCCCTTGGGCTATAAACAATAACAAAAGGTATCTTATATTTATACAAAGCTGTCCTCAGAAAAGCTCAAGGACCCGAACGAAGCTTGTTTTCATATATGAGTTCTTATATAATCCCCAAGGGGAAAGAAGCAGAGGGTGACAATTTAGTTAGGAATGCTGTCATTCTCAGCTAACAAAATGGAAAAGTGAGTTCTATGGTGCAAGGCACTGACGGTCGTGACCAGAACAGGAAGTCCATCTTCCCCACTTCCTGGCCAGGGTTCTGCACACTGGGCCACACTGCCTTGTCAGAAATCTGAAAGGCTGGAGGAGAAAGATTGGGAGAGAAAGTCCAGACACGCAAGGAGAGATGCTGCAGTCTCCCTGTCTCTAGAGACTGCTGTCCCCCCTGGTCAGGATTCTCCAGCTCCCTCTTGTCCTTGGTAGAACTGATCCTGGGGAGAATTTCCATCACCCTCATTAGGAGTTAGAGCTGAATCACAGTAGATTTTGGAGATATGGGTGGTTTGGGAAAGAAGAACCATCTGAGCAAAGGGCATTCTGTAAATATTTATTGAATGGTTGGATACAAAGATGAGTGAGGCATAAACTGCATTTAGTAAGTGCTTCATCTAGCAGGGGAGCTAAACACAGGATAAAAGGCTCTAGGTGCTGGATGAGTACAATAATGGAAAGGCAGTTACTTTTGACTGTGAATTTGAGTCAGGATGCTATCAGGCTGGGAGAGAGGCATTTTGGCTGGATCTTGAAGGATAAGCAGGAAGAGTTTTAAGGGATATCTTCTTACTGAGATGGTCACTGTGTATTAAAATCACCTGAGGAGCTTTTAGAACATACCCCACCCTTAACTAATCAGATGAAATTGATCTGAGTTGTAGCCTGGACATTAGTATTGTTAAAGAGCTCCCAGGTGATTTCACTGAGCAACCAGTATAGATAACCAGAGAAAAGGCATCAGCTTTGGAATCAGACAGCTTGTTCTAGTACCCGATGACCTTGGGCAAAGCCCACTAGGGAGTGTGGCAGCGTGAGTCTTCCACAAGTTCACTGTTTGTTTCCTCCTACTTCTACCCACACCTGTGAGGAAACTCTGCCATGGGAGAGTCCCTCTTTGACAAACTTTCCTTGAGAGAAAAACTCTGGATTGGGAATCAGGAAATCTGCGTTCCATCTCAGCTCTGCCACTGAGGTGCTGCGTGGGTGTGCTGAGTCACATAAGGAAAGAAAACAAAAACACTTAGAATTACTATTTGCAAGACATTGTGCTAGGTACCCTAGACATTTCTAGATCTCAATTACCCCATCTGTTGAGGTTTCTAGACCGGTATTTCTAAGTCATAAAGTATATTTAATAGACCATAACCAGAATTATTTTAAGAGAAAGCTATAAAACACAGTAGAAAAACGGAGTACACTGCATAGAGTAGGGCAAGTATTGCATCGTAAAATTTCATTTTGATTATTTATGCTTGTGTTTACTGGGTCATGATGTAAAATACATTTCACATTGTGGGTTGGAAGTTAAAAAGTTTAAGAGTGCTCGCTTTAGCAGCACATATCCTAAAGCTGATATGATGCTGAGAAGATCAGTGTGGCCCCTTTGCAAGGATGCCATGCAACTTCCTGAAGCATTCCATATTTTTTTTATGTTATATGATTTTTACCACATTAAAAAAAATGTTTGAGAAATCTGGGATTAGATGTTCTTTATGGACCCTCCCTTCTATCCTATAGCCCATGACTACTCTAGCCTACTGAGAACCCTCCTTTCTATGACCTCCTTTTACTTAGTATCATGTAATTCTGGCTTATCATTTTTTTTTAAGGGGGAGGCAGTGTGGTGTAGTGGTTAAAAGCACCCTCTTGAGTTAGCTAAGTGTATGTTTGAATTTAACTTCTTCACTTTTAGTTGAATGACCTAGAAAATGTACCCAACCTTTCTCCACCTTGTTTTTCATATAGGTGATAACCCCTAGGATAAATATGCTTATATGATTAAATAAGAGGGTGTAGGTAAAACTCTTAGCAAAATCACCTTGTTCACAGAAATTGCCCAGTGTATGGCAGCAGTGATCTGACTTCTTGTCCCACTCAGAATTTTTTTAAAGATTTTATTTATTTGAAAGAGAGAGAGAAGGAGAGAGCACGAATGCAGGCCGGGGGGGGCGGGGAGCAAAGGGAGAGAGAAAAGCAGACTCTCTGCTGAGCAGGGAGCTCAGTGTGGGACTCAATTCCAGGACCCTGAAATCATGACCTGAGCTGAAACCAAGAGTCAGATGCTTAACTGACTGAACCACCCAGGCACCCCCCACCCTTCACTCAGATTTTAAGGCACAGTCTATAATTTAGTGCCTGGCATATACAAAATCATAAATACTGTATGCTTATCTGACTGGAAAAACAAGAATTTCAGCCTCAAGCAGAATCTAATGCTGGAGCGCAACCATTCTCTGTTGGCATGCCACATTACCATACAGGTCTTGGGATGAGAGGCAGGGCATTCTGTGTGTCCTCCACCTACACATCTCTTCAGCCTTCTCCTCTCATATGGTCAGCTGGGCCTGGGAAGGTAAAGCAGGGAGAGGCAGATCCTGGCTATGACTTGCTTCAAGCATCAAAGCAGCCATGAATTTCAGTGCCATCAAAATCAACAGATAGACGGAAACTCAGAATCTACTGTATCACAGACTGGGCATCTATCTGAGAAAGTTTCAGAAAGAAGCCTAGGACAAAGAAATGAGAAAGAGCTGGTGGCCCAAGCACTGAGAAACTAGGAATAAGATTCAGATATTATACCAGAATAAATGGCCATCATCAAACAGTCAACAAATAAGCCACCCACTAGGTCCTAATTGCCTCAGAAATAGGCTGGGAACCAAGACAGTGTCTTGTAAATGATTCATTTCAGAAAATGACTACTAATCAATTACTAGGGTTTCTATAAAATAGTTTCTCCAGATTTATAGGTGGTGATCATGTGAATTGGATCATTGATTCTAGAATGAGATAAGCAGTGATACTGGTAACTTAATCTACTTACTCCAAGTAACTACAAAGAAATTAGTTGCCCTTAGTGGAAGCCAGCTCATTACTGAAGAGTGAAAAGAAATCCATTCATCATGGCAGAGCCTCACACCAACCTAGTCTCCCTGGAGCATTCAGCTATGCTGAGAAGATGTTGATGGAGAAGGGGATAATGACCCATAAATAGATAAGAAAGGAGCAGGGGGTGATGAGAAGGATTGAGGAAAGCCTCATGAGATTGCACAGGGAAAAAAATGGGCCTTAAAATCATAAGTATGTTAAAGTACAGTATTACAAGGACTATATAAATAGTATCACAAAGAATAGAATGGTTGAAAGTAGCCCTCAATGCTAGTGTGTTTTTTTCTGGAAGAAAACTTTGTTTGAAATTGGTGAAAAAGAAAAAATGTATGTGAATAACATAGCCCCACCTAAAAATATGTTGCTAACACAATGGTTTTTCAGGAAAGAAAAGGCAAGGATGCCTAGAAATAGCTGCGTCTAATCAGCCCCCATCCCAAGCAATCAACTGAAGTCCAGGAAATTCCATATGTAACCAGAAGAATAGACATCCTGGTGCATTTTGCCACAGTTAAGATTAGCGGAAACAGACCCCCATCAGCACTAGTAACAAAAAAGAACTAAAGGTGAAGAAACCACTGTAGGTCCCTGTGCCTCCCTTCTGGGAAGGTGGTGGCCTCGAGGTGAGAGGGATGGGACAGGGGCCGTTGCTGGGACCACACCAACAGCCCTTTGCTCTGAGAGCACGCCTTCAATAGCAGCACAGAGTGCTGTGTTTCTCCTGGGAAAATAATAAAAACAGTGGTGACTAGGGCTTAGCTTATCCTCCTGATTTATTCTAACAATCCTTAAAAAATGTTTGTTAACATAGCAATGGTTAAAGATAAGCACTTTTTGGGTCTTGTTTAAGAAATCGTTCTCTAATAAAATCTTTAAAAAAAGGGGGCGCCTGGGTGGCTTAGTTGTTAAGTGTCTTCCTTTGGCTCAGGTCATGATCTCAGGGTCCTGAGACTGAGCCCCACATCGGGCTCCCTGTTCAGCCAGAAGCCTGCTTCTCCCTCTCCCACTCCTCCTGCTTGTGTTCCTGCTCTCGCTATCTCTCTCTGTCAAATAAATAAAATCTTAAAAAAAAAGAAAGAAAGAAATCCTTCTCTACCCAAAGGCTTTAGGGGTCACTCTGCTGTATTTTCTTCTAAAAGATTCCAAGTTTTCCTTTTCACAATGAATTCCTCCTTCTCTGTGGAAATGAAAGTCACAAAGAGCAGAAACCAAAAAGGAAAAGATAGAGAAGTTTCACCTCATTGAAATTAATAACTTCTGCTTACTGAAAATATCATAGAGTAAAAAGATCAGCCATGAACTCTAAGAAAATCTTAATACTACATCTGACAAAACAATAGGATCCAGAATATATAAAGGATTCCTGCAACCTGTCCAAAAAATGTCCAGAAAACATGATGTATTTCACAAAAATAAACATGATATAATTCACAAAAATAAATCAAGATACTAAAAGATTCTCAACTTTGAGGCACCTGGGTGGCATCCAACTCTTGGTTTTGGCTCAGGTCATGATCTCAGGGGATCGAGCCCCACGTCGGGCTATGTGCTCAACACAGAGTCTGCTTGAGATTCTCTCTCCCTCTCTCTCTCCGCCCCTCCTGCTCTCATGTTCTCTCTCTCTCTCTCAAATAAATAATCTTTAAAAAAAATTAAAAGATTCCAGGGTGCCTGGGTGGCTCAGTCAGTTAAGTGTCAGCCTTTGGCTCAGGTCATGATCCCAGGATCCTGGGATCAAGCCCGGTGTTGGGCTCCCTGCTCAGCGGGGAGCCTGCTTCTCCCTCTCCCTCTGCTGCTCCCCCTGCTTGTGCTCTCTTGCTCTCTCTGTCAAATAAATACATAAAATATTTTTAAAAATACATAAAAATAAAAGGTTCTCAACTTTGTTAATGATCAGGGAAATGCAAATTAAAATCATAATGAGGTATCATTTTCTATCCACTAGATGGGCAAAAAATTCAGAAGTCTAATAATACTAAATGTTGGTGAGGATGTGGAAAAACAGAATCTTATATACTACTGTTGGGACTGTAAAATAGTACAATTTCTTTGGAAAATAACTTGGTATGTCTAGCACAGGTAAAGATTATGTTTCTGTGGCCCAGCAATTTTACTCTTGGGTGTGTACCCTAGAGAAACTCTTGCAGGTGTGCATTAGGAGACAGGTATAAGACCACTAATGAAAGCACTATCCATATTACCTCAGAGCTGAGCAAATATTGTTTGGGGAGAAATACATTGTAGTCAATTATTTTTAAAAAGCAAGCATATGATAAACACAAAAATCAGGAAAGTGAAGGTTTGAGGAGAAGGCAAGAGGATGAAAATTGGAGAGGAGGACATGGCTAATTGCAATTATACTTTTAATGTTGGAATCTTCTGTTGGCCAAGTGGGCTTATGTGTATTTCACATATTCCATTGTAGGCACAGAATATTACATAATAAATTGCTTTTAATTTGTAAAAAAAAAATGCATGAACAAAGAACAAAAATTTCTAATGGCTCAGTGCCAAGAAAAGTGAGATCTTGGTAATATCAGTCTCACTAAAATATGGGGGGTGGGGGGCAGGGACATATGACAAGTGATGGATTGCTCTCTGTCAGGGAGGGTCTGCATAATATGTGTTTTCCTGGAGCTCCTCCCAGAACATGGGCAGCTGGTCTTGTGACCAGGGCCTGTACCCAGGCTTACACCATATTACTCAGGTTGGCAAGTGGCCTGAGTGGACAAGTGGTGATCAGTATGGGGAAGACATGCCACTTAGCACATGAATGTTGTACGTGGTGAGATCTGTTTTAGATAAGTTTCCATGCAGAAAACTGAGGGCTGTTCTGGGGTAAGGCCTTTGATCCACTATTGGGAATACTCTACTTTTTATCCTGATTACATAAATTTGAGATTGAACTGAGGCTGTTTTTTTCAACAGTTATCATTTTGAATTTTTATTCTAAAGACTCAATACTTGGATCTTGGTGCTGTTGGACTTTGTAACCCCAGAACTACTCATATACGTTCAACCCTTTTTCTGTTGCTATTTGTATTTTTAATATATTTGGGTTTTACCCACTCTTTTAAAAGGATTATAGTCAACCAGATGGCAAGATTTTCTAAAGCCCTGTTTTGTTCATCCTTAATGTCAAAACTTGGCAAAATGAGTGCTTGATAGGCTTTTTATTCTGAAAAAATTATAAATTCAAAGGAAGTTGAAAAAATAGTACAGAGAGGTCCCATATACCCTTCATTCAGTTTCCCCCAATGATTATATCTTACATAACTATGGAACAATATCAAAAGTAGGAAACTGACATTGCTGCAATATATGTATGGTTCTATGCCATTTTATCACATGTGTAGATTCATGTAACCACCACCAAAGTTGAGAAGCAGAACTGTTCCATCATCACAAAGATCTCCCTTTGTAGTCATACCCAGCGCCTCCCACTGCCATCCCCAACCTCTGGCAGCAGCTAATCTGCTTTTTATTTTTATAATTTTGTCATTTTTAGAATGTTATATAAATGGAATCATTTATTATA